CCAAGCGTCCACTCTACCACTTGACCACACAAGATCGTCTCTAACAAGTATATCTTAAAACCAGGCCAATGGTAAATTTTTGCCGCGGTGTACCCAGGCCAAAGCCCACGATTTCACTAGGTACACCGCCGCGGTTTACGCAGGCCAAAGCCGATGGTTTCGCTAGGTACACCGCCGCGGTGTACGCATCCACTTCGTTTTAAAAAAGTGAATTAAAATTGAAACTGAAATGCAACGAAAATGTTAGGTTGGTAATTTATACTTTTATAACGCACTTTTAAATTTTACAAATGTATTATTTTTTTATGTTAATACTGAGTACTGAGTTAGTTTATCGATATGAATATACTCTTAGCCCTTAGCGCTTATTCTTATGGCCTTAAAACAGACTGTAGTACTGAGTAAGTGCTGTACTGTAGTGTAGACTGGCTTTTTTATCTCTAGGCCTAGGTAGGAGTCTAGGTCTAGGCCTAGGTCCTAGGCCTAGGTTAGGGCAGGTTAAGGTAAGGTGACCAAACGTCCTATAATAACGGGATTTTTCACGATCATACCCGTTGTCCCGAAAAAGTCTCTCGGGACCCCCAAAATGTCCCTTTTTTTAAACCTAACGCATTTCCTACTCACTAAAACTTCCTAATTTATAAGATAACTTAAACTTCCAATAATATTTTGGCTTGCTGTGTAAGTGTAGCCAGGTGTTTGTTTTGGGTGTTGAACTTAATTCCTTAATTTTATATTATCTTCTCATGTAAACAATAATTATGCCCAAGCGTCAATGTAAGTTTATGGATGAGTATTCCAAAGAGTAAAACTATATTAAAATGGAACGCTATGAAAGTGAAGCCCAGTGCACAGTTTGCAATAATGATAATGTTTTTAGTATTGGTCATTACTCATGGTGGAGATTCAGACATAAAACAATACACCGCAACAGTGAAACATAGGATAAGACTTAGTGCCCCAAGTAGATTTCTGGGTTAGATTTCATAGTTCAAAGGAGCATATTTCAATAAACAGTTCCCGGCTGAGGCCTCCGGACCCCTCTTTAACTGGAGGGTATTCGCCCCCTCCCCCCCCCCCCCCCCACCAAAAAAAAAAACCCAAACAAAACCGTCCTTGAAAGCGTCCCGTTTTTTCCAAATCATAATTTGGTCACCCTACTCTAGGTAGACCTAGCCGAGCCTTAAATAAATCAACATAACAACTTGGACTTGGTTGACAGTTAACAGTACAATCACGTCACCCAGTGGTACCTCGTATTACCTCAGGTTACGAACATAATTTGTTCCAGAACTCGGTTCGTAACCCGAAATGTTTGTAAACTCAAAAAATAGAGACAATCCCACAATCCGTTTCAAGACAATCAAGATGAAATAATTGTTATTTTTTAATAACAACATCTAGTCATTTCCCTGACAAAACACAAAGAATGCGTGTACTTCACATATTAAATAAAGTTAAAGAGAAAGAAAACAACCAAATAAATCAAATGTAAAAAGAAAAAATTAATAAAGTCTCTATTTATGTTTCTTACCAAGAAAACGATCATGGGAAATGTGTCACTTTCATTTCTATTCTGAATCATTCGTATCAGGAGTTTCTTGTTGCTTCTTCTTGGCAACCAACTGGCAATCTTTCTGCACCAGGAAACTATCAAAGAAAATTTTTTGCTTCCTTTGCTGGAGAATCTTTACGATCTGTAGATGATCGTTGGTCTCATTAAACCTTGCGACCTTGCTCTGTCTCTCTCTCTCCATCGCCTTCGTTCGTAATCTGAGGCACTGTTCGTTACTCTAGATTCTAGACCAATTTATAAATATAGCTCCTCGCTCAAAACTAATTTGCTACCCCTTTTTTCTAAAGACTAAAACTAAGGCTATGTTTAAAATGAGTTGTTATATAATGCTTAATAGTAATATAGTAAGCCTAATTTTATCAAATCTTACTTTGATAAAGATGTCAACTGTGTGTAAGCACTAGTTACACTGAAACAGAGTTACCACAGTAACGTTTTTAGTTTATTTTAAGGCTGTTCTTCATTTGTTGGGTGTTGTCAGAAACTCTGGTAGACCGTCACATCATTATTTTAAAATCTAATTAGTTTAAATATGTCTTTCCTTTATTATAGGAAGCCCTAAAATAACTAACATTTATTGCAGTTTACAATTTCTTTCACTTTACCTTTTACCTAGTAACTGAAATATAGTGGTTGTCAAAGACAAGTCAATGTAATGGTCCATAGACACATTTTGAAAGGAAATCAAATAGGAAGACAATAACTAATCTATCAAAAAATTACTCAGGTGCAATGTGGATAAATTCATGCTTGTGGCCTACTGAGAAGAACTGGTGTTAAATGGTCACACAAATTTACTGCTTAGGTCACAATGATTTACACCCAGGTAAAATTAGAATTACAATTATTGTGCTTTATGCATGGATACAAAGATAGATGATTGTATACATTGAATAAATCACATAATATGAAATTGTTTTTAAGTTATGCTTTATGCAAGGATACAAAGATAGATGATTGTATACATTGAATAAATCACATTATATGAAATTGTTTTTAAGTTTGTGATCGTATCACTTTTAAAATATAATTCTTATTTTATTACAGTTAACAAGATCAGCCCTGGTTGGGATGGCCTGCACTAAAAGTAGACTTTGTCGTGACTGCCATACACAAATATGCATACGAAAGTCCCACACCACTGCTGCTAATCTCAACCTGACATTTGAAAACATATTGGATGGTATTTTGTTTTGATCAAAAGTTATCCAGTAAAATATGATACATTACATAGTATTACAACTGAAGAACTTAAAGCAAACAAAAATCATGGAGTCATCTATTTACAGTTATGTACACTTCAATGTTAGCAACCGAAGAATTCAGTGTTATAAATTAAATTCTGTATTCATATTCATGATCTCACAACTTTTCAGATGTCAATAAACAAAGGGCAATTGCAAGACTCACTTCTGTTGATGCAGTTAGAACTACAAAGGAGTATGGACTCAAAGCTGACCACTCTTATGCTGCTGTATTGGTACCACTGTGTACTGTCAACAAAGAACCCTCTTTAATTTTAACATTACGGTCTTCAAGATTAAAAAAACACAGAGGGCAGGTGAGGTATGGTCATTTATTTGCTTGGCACTGTAGTTCAGGGTTTTACAACCCAAGGGGTCCTGATAGTTTCACAGCTGTGTCTCAGGTGCATGTGAGCAATGGAGACAAATAAATACAAATAGATATAGAATTTTAACTTTAAAAAAAAAAATTCTTGCACAATACCAGGTAATGTAGAATCCATTTAATCTTGCAATGAAATTATTGGATTCCTTCCTTTGCTAAAGCAGCTATATGTTTAAAATACTGCTGTAAAATTTTAGTAAATAGTTCTATTGTATCACGAGGTAAAAAAATTTTTTTGAAACCTCAGCAGTAGTAGATAATATATTCACATGTATCTTAAGAACAGTTATCTTTTTTTGACTAAGGACATTGATTTTGTACTGCTATGTCTTTATTTATGTGTGTGTGCTTATAGATGAACTAGGACAGTGGTTCCCAACCTTTTTGACTCGCAGCACTCCTTTTTAAAACCATTTTATATTGGGGAACCCTCAGGCATACCCTATGTCTTACAATTAAAAGTTAATGGTATTATTTAAATTCTTGAAAACTGCACCCTTGAGAACTGCACCCGATGGGAACTACTGTATTAGGTCATTGAAAGTTTGACCACACATCCCGCCACATTAAGAGCTTTTTCACATTTCATTTTCTCCCTCCAAACCCAATATTATCCTAAGCTTATACTTTTCCAAAGTATAACTATCATAACTCCTTAGAGGAAACAAATACTACTTTCTACAAAGACCTGTCACATGTACTGAATTTATCGCACTGCCTTGGCAGCAAAGATTCTAACTAGCAAGATGCACCATACCATGGCCCTCTGAATCAAGGCTTGAGTGCAGGGTTTCTGAATCATTATTAGTCTAAAACACGTGTCAAACTCAAGGCACTTGGGCCACATCTGGCCCACCGTACAATTGTGAGGTTTTGACCGGCGTACAATTATATCCAAGTCAATGCTATGGTGTTTCCTAATGCACACTTTGCTGAAAAACTTAGCTTACTTCGCGCCGAGTTGGCACGGCCCTTTAGTGACTTTGAAGCGCAGAAATGTAATTTCGAGCTATTTCATAACCCATTCGTCATAGACATGGAAACTGCACCTGTAAATTTGTAGATGGAGCTAATAGAGCTGCAGTGTAATTTGACACGAAAGGAATAGTACGACACAGTTGGGCCTTCACAGTTCACTCGTTTCATTCCTGAAGAGATGCCCCAGCTTTGCCTATATGCGGCTCGAACTTTGAGTATGTCGGGTAGCACAAAACATCACACAGGAGTCGTCTCACTGATCAACACTTGCTGTCCATCATGAGAATCTTAGTGACACAGAACATTACTCCCAACATAAACGAACTTACTTGTTTTTTAGTCAAGAAAATGTGTATGCCAATGATTTTTAATTATTAAAACTTTTTTCTATTTTCATTTATATAAATTTTTTCAAAAAAAGATTAATTTTCCGCTTATTGAATGTTTATCTGGTTTTGCCCGCAACCTTACATGTGATTTGAGTTTTGGCCCACTGAGCTATTGAGTTTGTCATCCCTGATGTAAAACATTATTATAGGTCTTGGCCAGTGGTCTGTAAATCGAGCCTTGCAGGTCGCATGTGGCTCTTCAATGACCTGAGTGCAGCTCAGCCAGTCGGCAATAAATATCGGTTTTGACTCTGAAAAACGTGGTTCTTTACAGGTTTTTGAAAAGAAAATTGGCTCTCAAAAATGTTTTATTCCAACGCCAAGGAATTGATTTACTGGTAGTGCATAAAACAAAATTGCAGCGTAAATACTTGCAGTTAAAACTACTAGCTGAAGGAGATAGTCAAAGTACCTGTAGAAATAATTTATTATTGAATTGGTGTAGTAGCAGGGCAGACTACACCATTACACAGAGAGGCAGAACATGGCTGCTATGCTGTGACGCCTTGATCCAGAGGGCCATGACCACACACACTAAAACACAACAAACAATGTGCACCAATTTCAATTAACAATCAATAGAGTTATATTGCCATCTTGTAACCCCTTGACTCCCTTAAACATCCTATTACTTCAAAACCCAATTAATCCCTTATTCTCTTCAACCTTTGCTCCACTTTCCATTGGCTTACCTCTCAACACACAACAGGACCTTTCATTCAACTCCATCAAATCCATCTGTCCCTTCCAAAACCGCCCCACCCCCCCCCCCCCCCCCCCCCCCCCCCCACAAAAAAAAAATTCTTACCTCCTCCTTATATATTCAGCTTCAGTCAATTACGAAGTGTGGATCTGAGTTATGCAAGTAAATTACCATTAACTTAGGATATAATTTTAAAAAGTTAATTTATATAGGTACCAAATAGAAGTAGAAGCAGCCAGGAGTCAATTTTGTATTTACTTAATATATTTTTGAAAAATTTAATTACCATCTTGACATTATCATTAAAATATGTGTAGTGTTTCATTTAGCCTAGAATTATGATTGATGTAAGACACAATTTGTGAGTCACTAAGTGTAGATTGCAGCTTTTTTAACATGTTCACATATAGAGATAAAGGCTTATAGTATATATATTATATCTTTATAATTTTTATTTTGTATATTTAGTTTCCCTGGAGGCAATTCTGATAAATCAGATCCAGATTTCATTCACACTGCTTTGAGGGAGACGCAGGAAGAGCTTGGAATGGACCCATCCTTCTTTGAGATATGGGGTCAAATGAATCCACTTCCTGGTTCAGTAAGAATTCATATTTCTGAATTTCATATTGTTAATAAAATCTTTCTTTTTTTTTTTTTTTTTTTTTTATGTGCCATGAAAGTAAAAAATAATCTTAAAAGTTCTAAGAAAAGTTACATGTGTGTGATCAAATGATAAATAATCCTGTTCCCATCTGCTTTGATCCAACAGGATGGTAGGAAAGTGGTCTATCCCATCTTGGCTAGAACAGGAGAGGTCAATGATGAAACTCTCAACATCAACCGAGATGAGGTGGAGCAAGCCTTTTGTGTATCTATACGAACCCTCTGCGATCCACGTTACTTTGGTGTTACACATTTCCGTGAAGGTCAAGGCTACACACTTCCTGTATACACTGGAGCAGCTCACAGGATATGGGGCCTGACGGCAATCATTGTGCACCAGACTCTAAGTATCCTAGCCCCTGGCTTGTACGCACATAAAGTAAAGAATAAAAAATATTATTCAAAAGCTCAGGTCAAGAGCACAAAACCACAGCAGCAGCTGACCACTGAATCAAAGTCTTGATGGTAAAGAACATTAGTTTGTATACAAAGTCTAATTGTTAACATAATATAAATAAGGGTACCAGTAAATTATAAAGAAAACCACTTTAATATATTGTGTTGGCTACAAAATCTCTGTAGTTTTTTTTTTTTTAATTGAATATAAATTTGTGATATATCAGTATATGTTATGCACATGTGTATGATATTTATATTGATGTATATCAGACCTGTTTACTCTTACAATTGTGGCGTACAATGAACGATTTTGAGGTGTATACATTATATAAACTATGTTTATTTTTTACTATTAAGATAATGTATTGAACGATTTTGTGATGATATTGTACGATTTTAAGAGTTTGGGGGTAAACAGGTCTGGTATATAGATATCAGTATATATATAATGTTATAATAAAATGTTGAATGCAGTTATACCCTGATTTACCCAATGAATGTCTATGGCATAGATGGTGTAAATGACAGAGTATAAGCTGGGGCAAATATGTCCTTATCCACATATACCTGACGTATGGGTTTTATGATTGCAATGTACAAATAAAATGCTTATTTATCTAATTTTTAACACTTTTGAAAAAGATAATTTATTTTTTAAAATAAATGAGGTTTTATTGATTGTTTATCTATAAAAAAAATGTTTTGTTTTATCGTTTATAAATTTGTTTTCATGGTATGGTGACATTGGATGAGAGAGTTTCTGATCAAAGTTTTCTTTCTTAAAAAATGTTAATTCCACCTTCAAAATGAGGCAAAAAAATTTAGTTATAATCCTTATGTCTCAAGTTTTTTGTCTTTGTAGTAAAAGTTGAAAAAAACTTAGGTCCTACTGTTTTGGTCTTTTATGTAAAAATTTGTCATAATTTCTTTTTAACATGGATGAGAGTGTAACAAAGGTATTCAGGTTAATTGCTATTTATACAGAATTTCTCTTATATATATTATACTTCTGCTTCCAAATAGACTGCTTCCTAATCAGCGACTTTGGTATTGAGGGTATTTTACAAATAATTCTAAATGTTTGATAATGAGTTCAATAGTCTGCAAAATATAATTCTCGATACTATGCTAAATGAAATTTTTTTTATATAACGCAACTGCGCTTGTCGCATAATATTTTCTTTTTAGTAAATGAAATCATTTCAATTTAAGTATGGTGTAAAAATATAAAGTTTAAAAGTGGTTGGGGCATCAGTATATTTAATAGACATCAGATATTTAATATAGATCAAGGGCTTGTGCATCAGACAATGAAATGACACCCACAGACTCTAGGTGTGCATCAGATAATGAAATGACACCCCCTGACTTAGGTGTGCATCAGATAATGAAATGACACCCCATGACTTTGGTCATAGATAATGAAATGACACCCCTGACTTTGGTGTGCATCAGATAATGAAATGACACCCCCCTGACTTAGGTGTGCATCAGATAATGAAATGACACCCCCTGACTTTAATGTGCATCAGATAATGAAATGACACCCCCTGACTTAGGTGTGCATCAGATAATGAAAAGACACCCACTGACTTTGGTGTGCATCAGATAATGAAATGACACCCACTGACTCTTGGTGTGCATCAGACAATGAAATGACACCCACTGACTCTTGGTGTGCATCAGACAATGAAATGACACCCACTGACTCTTGGTGTGCATCAGAAAATGAAATGACACCCACTGACTCTTGGTGTGCATCAGACAATGAAATGACACCCACTGACTCTTGGTGTGCATCAGACAATGAAATGACACCCACTGACTCTTGGTGTGCATCAGAAAATGAAATGACACCCACTGACTCTTGGTGTGCATCAGACAATGAAATGACACCCACTGACTCTTGGTGTGCATCAGACAATGAAATGACACCCACTGACTCTTGGTGTGCATCAGAAAATGAAATGACACCCACTGACTCTTGGTGTGCATCAGACAATGAAATGACACCCACTGACTCTTGGTGTGCATCAGACAATGAAATGACACCCACTGACTCTTGGTGTGCATCAGAAAATGAAATGACACCCACTGTCTCTTGGTGTGCATCAGATGATAATCAAATATGGTCATAGATAGTGAAATAAGACATCTGACCTAGATGTGTGTGTCAATCAGATAATGCAATGAGACCTCTGACCTTCGAGTTAGATCTGTGTGTAAATTTTTACCAAATATGCTATGAATGTTTGATGATGTCTTTAATTACTTGAAACGAGAAACAAATTTCTTCAAAAAATAACTTGTCATAAAATCATCACAGGACAGACTCAATCTATTTGTTAAGATACAAGACCTTTGTCTCCATGTTTATAACAAAGCAATTAACTCAATGTATTTGTTAAGGTACAAGCACTTAGTTTCCATGTGTACAACAAATACACATTCAACTTATTTTGATGTTACACATGTAACTTACAGTCACACCCTTCTCTTCATTCTTCTTTTGACGTTAACTATTTTACAGAATCTTCAATAATAGGAATAGAATATATCACAGTTGAACCTATCTCTTTTTCTATCTTGCTCTTATCTCTTTCCTTCTCATCTCTCTCCTTGGCTGGTACATCAATTTCAAAATCTTCTTCTAGAACAGCCCAGGGTTGCACTTCTCCCACAGCAAAGCTGCCAAATACAATAGTTCCCAATAGACAGAGACTGCCACAGATATAGAAGACATTTCTCCATTCCTCTTGACTTTTCTGACAATAGTAATAGTAACATCATTTAAATTTAAACCAAAAAATTCTATGACATTAATTAGTTTGTAAAAATTAAAATGTCTTACTACTCTAATTGAAAAAAAAAACGATTAGAGAAAATCTCATTGTCAGAATTAATTATCAACAAGATCTTTAAAAACAAGAATGATCCCTCAATAGGATATACAAACACAAACAAGAATTATCCCTCAATAGGATATTCAAACACAAACAAGAATTATCCCTCAATAGGATATTCAAACACAAACAAGAATTATCCCTCAATAGGATATTCAAACACAAACAAGAATTATCGATCAGAGTCTTACTGATTCAGGAGAGTCTCATTGATTCAGGAGACTCTCATTGATTCAGGAGAGTCTCACTGATTCAGGAGAGTCTCACTGATTCAGGAGAGTGTCACTGATTCAGGAGACTGTCACTGATTCAGGAGAGTGTCACTGATTCAGGAGAGTGTCATTGATTCAGGAGAGTGTCACTGATTCAGGAGAGTGTCACTGATTCAGGAGAGTCTCACTGATTCAGGAGAGTCTCACTGATTCAGGAGAGTCTCATTGATTCAGGAGAGTCTCATTGATTCAGGAGAGTCTCACTGATTCAGGAGAGTCTCATTGATTCAGATATTACTTAATCAGAAAGAATTATTTCAATTTTTTCTATATTTCTGATTTGAAATTTTTCAAGTCATTTTTCAAGTCATTCAAAACATTAATCTTAATGATCAGTATATTGCTTTGTGTAAAATACATTACCAATACCTTCTCCTCTCTCTCCTAATGTCCCCTCCAAACGTCTCCCCATCTCCCTCCTCCTCTCATAATGTCTCCCTTGTATGTCCCAGTCCTAATACCGCCTTGAAATTTCACCCCACCTAATTTTTCCCACTACCCTGTGTCCCTCCTCCTCTCCTAATCAGCTCTTCTACTAATATCCCCTCTCCTAACGTCTCCTTACTATGTCCACCTCTTATGTTTCCTCATAATATCTCCCCCTCAAGTATTCCTCGCCGATAATGCCCCCCTGCCAATAACCTCATACCCTAATGTTTACTTCCTAATACATCCATACTAATGTCCCCCTCCTAAGGTCTCCCCTCTTCTGTTCTCCTCTTTTCCAAATGTTCCCCTTCAAAAGTCACCCCTTCTGTCTCCCCCTTTCCTGTCTCCCCTATCTAATAGTGTCTCCCTTTCCAAAGCCACCTCCTAATTTCTCCAAATGCGAATATCTCCTTCTTCTAATATCCCTGTCATACAGTATCCCCTCCTGTGTCCCTACTCATCACCTAATGACTCTCTCCCTTCTGTGTCCCTATACTCATCACCTAATGTCTCTCTCCCCTCCAGTGTGCCTACTCATCACCTAATGTCTCTCCCCTCCTGTGTCCCTACTCATCACCTAATGTTTATCTCCCCTCCTCTGTCCCTACTCATCACCTAATGTCTCTCTCCCCTCCTGTGTCCCTATACTCATCACCTAATGTCTCTCTCCCCTCCTGTGTCCCTACTCATCACCTAATGTCTCTCTCCCTTCCTGTGTGCCTACTCATCACCTAATGTCTCTCTCCCCTCCTGTGTGCCTACTCATCACCTAATTTCTCTCTCCCCTCCTGTGTCCCTACTCATATAGCTGGGTCTATCAAACCATCTAATCTAAGACCTAATGTTCCTCTGCCTGCCACTTCCATTACTAGCTGGGTCTATCAAACCATCTAATCTAAGACCTAATGTTCCTCTGCCTGCCACTTCCATTATTAGCTGGGTCTGTCAAACCATCTAATCTAAGACCTAATGTTCCTCTGCCTGCCACTTCCATTACTAGCTGGGTCTATCAAACCATCTAATCTAAGACCTAATGTTCCTCTGCCTGCCACTTCTCAAACCATCTAATCTAAGACCTAATGTTCCTCTGCCTGCCACTTCCATTACTAGCTGGGCCTATCAAACCATCTAATCTAAGACCTAATGCCCCTCTGCCTGCCACTTCCATTACTAGCTGGGTCTATCAAACCATCTAATCTAAGACCTAATGTCCCTCTGCCTGCCACTTCCATTATTAGCTGGGTCTATCAAACCATCTAATCTAAGACATAATGTTCCTCTGCCTGCCACTTCCATTACTAGCTGGGTCTATCAAACCATCTAATCTAAGACATAATGTTCCTCTGCCTGCCACTTCCATTACTAGCTGGGTCTATCAAACCATCTAATCTAAGACCTAATGTACCCCTCCTGTGTCCCTACTCTCCACCTAATGTCTCTCTCCCTTCCTGTGTGCCTACTCATCACCTAATGTCTCTCTCCCCTCCTGTGTGCCTACTCATCACCTAATGTCTCTCTCCCCTCCTGTGTCCCTACTCATCACCTAATGTCTCTCTCCCTTCCAGTGTGCCTACTCATCACCTAATGTCTCTCTCCCCTCCTGTGTCCCTACTCATCACCTAATGTCTCTCACTCCTCCTGTGTCCCTACTCATCACCTAATGTCTCTCTCCCTTCCTGTGTCCCTACTCATCACCTAATGTTTCTCTCCCCTCCTGTGTCCCTACTCATCATCTAATGTCTCTCTCCTCTCCTCTGTCCCTTCTCATCACCTAATGTTTCTCTCCCCTCCTCTGTCCCTTCTCATCACCTAATGTCTCTCCCCTCCTGTTTCACTACTCATCACCTAATATTTCTCTCTCTTCCTGTGTCCCTACTCATCACATAATGTCTCTCTCTCCTACCCCCTCCTAATAACAAATAGCTTACCTAATATCTTCCTCCTATTTTCCCCTCCTAATATTTCCCTCTCTCCTTTCTCCCTTCTCCTTTCTCCCCCCTCCTCTCCTTATGTCCCAATCTCCAATCCGTTTCCGAATGCCAACCTCTCCTAATGTCTCCTCTTCCTGTCTCCCTCATCATCTACCAATGTCCTCCTCCTAATAGTTACCCCTTTCTTCTCTCCCTCCTTCTCCCCTAATGTTCCCCTACCATTGACTT